ACACCGTACCTGAGTGGTTCCCAACCTTGGGTCTCCCAGGTGTTCTTGGACTGCAACTCCCAGAAACCCCAGCCAGCACAGCTGGTATTGAAAGCTTCTGGGAAGTGCAGTCCAAGAACACCTGGATTTTCCATGGTTGGGAACTACTGCTCTCCTCCCTTGGCTTTTAAAAAACTTATTATTTCAGAATCCTTAATACTAATAATTATGTGCTGTCAAGTCAATTTGGTTTACAGAGGCCCTTTCTACGGTTTTCCAGCTAGAGAATACTCAAAAGTGGTTTTATACCATTCCCTTCTTTTGGGGAGTGCCCGTGGGACTACTTGTGCAAATTGCCCAAGGCCACAGAAGCTGGCTTTTCTCCCAGAAGGCACAGTGGAAAATTGAACCTACAACCTCTGGCTCCATAACTAAGCCACTGAGATAGCCAGCCTTACAATACAACCTCTGGCTCCATAGCTAAGCCACTGAGATAGCCAGCCTTACAATAGCTTTATAATCTAGTACAGTGGTTCTTAACCTTGGGTTACTCAGGTGTTTTTGAACTGCAACTCCCAGAAACCCCAGCCAGCACAGGTGGTGGTGAAGGCTTCTGGGAGTTGCAGTCCAAAAACACCTGAGAAACCCAAGTTTAAGAACCACCGATCTAGTATAACGTTGTCACTGAAATTGCTTGTGATGGTCTGAGGCTAAGAGAGAGCCGAAAGATCACAGTAAAGTAAAAAAAGTGGCAAGATATGAACAATTGGTTTCTTATCACACATACTCTTTCTCAGTCTGTTAAAATATCCTTCAGTCTGAAATCAAGTACAGAGCTTATAAAAGCAACTTGTTTGAATAGATAGAACAATGATCAGGGGAAATACCGTTGGCTTAAGAATCGTACTCAGAGGGTGATGATTAATGGGTCCTTCTCCAACAGGGAGGAGTTAATAAATGTGGTACCCCAGGGCTCAGTCCTGGGCCCAGTGCTCTTCAACATTTTTTATTAATGACCTGGATTTGGGGGATGTAGGGAATGCTAATCAGATTTGCAGTCGACACAAAATGGGTGGAATAATTAATACCCTGGAAGACAGAAATAAAATTCAAAATGATCTGGATAAGCTTGAGCGCTGGGCTGAAAACAACAGAACGGAATTTAACAGGGATAAATGCAAAATTCTACACCTAGGAAAAAGAAACCAAACACACAGTTACAAGATGGGGGACACCTGGCTATGAGCGAGAAAGCTCTTGGAATTGGTGATCACAAGCTGAATATGAGCCAACAGTGTACAAAAAAAAAAAAAGACAGCAAATGCTATTTTAGGTTGCATTAACAGAAATCTAGTCTCCAAATCCTGTGAAGTACTAGTTTCCCTCTATTTGGCACTGGTTAGGCCTCATCTTGAGAACTATGTCGAGTTCTGGACACCACACTTTAAGAAGGATGCTGGCAAGTTCGGAAGAGGGTAACAAGGATGATCAGGAGTCTGGAAACCAAAACCTATGAGGAAAAACTGGAGGAATTGGGCATGTTTAGCCTTGAGAAAAGAAGACTGAGAGGACATAGGAGAGTACTCTTCAAATACTTGAAAGATAGTCCTACAGAGGAAGAGAAAGATCTGTTCTCAATCATCTGATGGAGGACGTACAACAATGAGTTCAAGCTACAGAAAGCCAGATTTCAGTTGACTGTCAGGAAAAACTTCCTAACTGGTTGTTGTGGGTTTTCCGGGCTGTTTGGCCATGTTCTTAACGTTTTTCTTCCTAACGTTTTGCCTGTCTCTGTGGCTGGCATCTTCAGAGGACAGGAGTCAGAACTCTGTCTGTGCTCTGGTGCAGTTTGCTGGATAGTTGAGTATTTATAGCTGTGGGATCAGCATTTGTTCTTTTCAGGAGATTGGATGATTATGGTGATCAGCGTATTTTTTGTTGTGGATTATTGTTGTGATCCCAGGGGACATGGTGGCGCTGCGGGTTAAACCACAGAAGCCTCTGTGCTGCAAGGCTGGAAGACCCGCCATTGAAAGATCGAATCCACACGATGGAGTGAGCTCCCATCGCTCATCCCAGCTCCTGCCAACCTAGCAGTTCGAAAGCATGTAAATGTGAATAGATAAATACTGTAGGTACCACCATGGTGGGAAAGTAATGGCATTCCGTGTCTAGTTGTGGTGGCCGCGTGACCACAGAAACTGTCTACAGACAAAATGCTGGCTCTACGACTTGGAGATGGGGATGAGCACCATGCCCTAGATGAGCACCACAACTGGATTAAATGTCAAAGGGAACCTTTACCCTAAGGTATTGTTGGTATTGTTGTGATAAGGAGGAGAGATGATCTGTCACAGTGATTGATGGGTGTCGTTAGTTGATCTTTTATGTGCAGTGATTACTGGTCCTTGTGGCTGGGTAGAGTTCATTGACCTTTTGCAGGCTGTATTTCTCAGTGCTGGGAGCCAGGCTTTGTTGAGCTTTAGACTTTCTTTTTTATTGTTGAAACTCTGCTGGTGTTTGTTGATTTTAATAGCTTCCCTTTGCAGGCTAACATAATGATTGCTAGTGTTGTCCAGTACTTCAGTATTTTGAAATAGAATTTCATGTCCAGCTTGTTTTAGGGCATGTTCAGCTACTGCCCATTTTTCTGGTTGATTTAGTCTGCGGTGTCTCTCATGCTCATTCTGGTGTGGATGCTGTGTTTTGCAGTTCCGATATATACCTGTCCACAACTGCAAGGTATCCAGTATACTCCAGTAAGGGGGTCCTTTCTGTCCTTTGCTGACTGTAACATTTGTTGTATTTTTGTGGTGGGTCTGAATACTGTTTGTAGGTTGTGTTTTTTCAAAAGTTTCCCTACGCGGTCCGTGACCCCTTTGATGTATGGCAGAAATACTGTATTTGTGGGTGGTTGTTTTTTTCTCTTCAATTTGGTGTTGTTTTCTTGGTTTGATGACTCTTGTGAATTCATTATTGAAATATCCATTTGCCCGTAGGGCCCAATTCAGATGGTTGAGTTCGGTGCTGAGAAATTGAGCTTCCCCATTCTGATTTGCATGGTCTGCCAGTGTTTTGATTATGCCTCTTTTTTGTCGTGAGTGGTGGTTGGAGTTTTTGTGTAGGTACTGGTCTGTGTGGGTAGGTTTTCTGTAGACCTTGTGTCCCAATAGGAGGTCACGTTTGCATATGACCATGATGTCTAAGAAAGGGAGTTGGCCCTCTATTTCTTTTTCCATGGTGAATTGTATATTTGAGTGGATGTTACTGAGATAGTTTAGAAATTCTTCCAGTTTTTCTTCACCATGTTTCCAAATTGTGAAGGTGTCATCCGTGTATCGGAACCAGACTGTGGATGCGAAGGGTGCCGAAGCCAGGGCCTGTTTTTCGAAATGTTCTGTGTAGAATTTTGCTATAATTGGGCTGGGGAGGGGGCTCCCCATGGCAACTCCATCTGTCTGTTCATAGAACTCATTATCCCACTGAAAATAGCTGGTCGTTAGGCAGTGTTGGAAGAGGGCCTTGATGTCTTCTGAAAAGATCTGCTTGATCAGTGTCAGGGTGTCCTTTATAGGTACCTTTGTTTTTCGAAATGTTCTGTGTAGAATTTTGCTATAATTGGGCTGGGGAGGGGGCTCCCCATGGCAACTCCATCTGTCTGTTCATAGAACTCATTATCCCACTGAAAATAGCTGGTCGTTAGGCAGTGTTGGAAGAGGGCCTTGATGTCTTCTGAAAAGATCTGCTTGATCAGTGTCAGGGTGTCCTTTATAGGTACCTTCGTGAACAGGGATACTACATCAAAACTGATCAGTCTGTCCCCAGGGTTGTTTTAGGGTGCTGATCTTGCTTATGAAATATCCTGAGTCTATCTCACAAACTAGCCTTCTCACAAGTCCCGTTTCAGTTGGATGAGGAGCGAAACGTGTCGATCTAATAAGAAAGAAGTCCAGTTGCCATGAGTCAACGTCTAGATAGAATCAAGGGCGAGAAGAGAAAACAGGGGAAACGAGTTTGCTCTGAGAGGAAGGGAGAAAAGAACATCAACAATTGGGTCTCCGTCAGCCCCTTGCCAGGGATGACAACTTGGGTGATAGTGGAATGGTCTCCTCATTGCCATTCTCTGGGATTTAAGAGGACCTAAACTGGAAGAAGCCACAAGTCCATCTAGTTGAACATCACGCTGCCCCCGGTGGCCAAGCAGATGTCTCCAAGGTGTTCTGTAAACAAAGAGAGTACGGTGGTGGCTCGCATAGTGAGGTTAATCCGTTCCAGATTAACCTTCGCTATAGCGAAACATCGCCGAACGGGACAGGGAAAGCCATTGGAACGCATTATGCGTTCCACATCGTTTAATGCGTTCCAATAGGCTCCTTTACTCACCGTTCAGCGAAGTTTCCTATGGCCGGCAGCCATTTTCGCACCCTCGGTAAGCGAGGGGAGGGGGCGAAAACGCTGCGCGCGGCCATTTTGGGGCTTCCGGCGGCCATTTTGTCCGCTGAACAGCTGATCGTCGGGGCTTCATTTTGCGAAGATCGGTAAGCGAAACGCTTACCGATCTTCGCAAAGTGAGTTTCGCCCTATCTAAAAGTCGTTGAGCGATCGCATTAGCGATCCCAAAAAAGGGATCGCTATGCAATTTCGTCGTTGTACGGTGCGCTTGTTAACGAGGCACAACTGTATTCGCGGTGTATTGCTGTTGATCTCCAGCAGCAGCTATTCAGCAGCAAATTGCCTCTGCATAAGAAGAATTAATCATTTGCAAGGCATCAGTAGAGCTTTCTGCATACAGGCACTTGTCTCTTTTAGTCAGATGTTGCTTCTGAAGGACTCTAGGATGCTGAACCTGCCAGGAGAATAATCTCAGAAGACAAACAGTAGCACCCCCCATCCTTTGATGGGGGCTTTTCTGGTGGTTCTCAGTGCTGCTGCCTTGCTTTTCCCACCCTCCTGCCTTTTCTTTTTATTTTGGCTTTGTCTAGCATCTAAGTTTTCCTTTTTATTCTACCCCTTTCTGATAGGAAAGAATGCATCTTCACCATCGATCCTTCCACAGCCAAGGACCTCGATGACGCCTTGTCTTGCAAGCAGCTTCCGGATGGTATGGTTTGTTTTCAGTGTTTTCGCTTAAGGGTCTGTGTGGCTGTTCCTTAGAGCAGCTGCCACGCTGTCTTCCATTGTGGAATCCTCAAGGAAAGTAGGGTTTCAAGCGGAAGGCTAAGCAGGTGTGTGGAAGATGTTTTGTCTGGTCCCCAGCATCTCCAATTAACATGATTAAGGTAGCAAGACTGGTGAGGGCGGTGGAGGATCTTGCCCCACAAGTATTGTTGGATCACAATTCCCATAGGGCTTTATCAAGGCTTGGTGGCTCCGAGGTCCGTGGGAACTGTAAATCCACTCTTGAGTTTTTGTCCAAACATTACAGACACTATCCAAAGTGCTGAGACGTACCTCCAAAATAGCTGCAGCACCTCAGGCATCTCTTACGTTCACAGTAAATACTGGGATGGATTCACTGCTCCCCTGACATCGGAACCAGCAGCCTTGTCTGCCCATTTCCAGTGGCTGTTCTGCCTAAAAGCTGGTGGGACTTGTGGTCCAGAGACAGCAGGCACTCCGCACATTCCCGGACTCCAGACCGGGTTGGCAAATGAGCTGATTCACTGCAATTATGATTTTTCAAAGAAGTTGTTGTGTGTCTGTGTCTGTTTCAGCAAGTTTACCAAAACAGGCAGACCAAAGGCAGAGCCTTTATGGCTAACAGGTTTATTTCAATGTGAGCTTTCATTTAATTACGATCCATCTTTAGCGGCTCACTACAAAGGGGGTTCATACATGTATATCTTCATGGCCTCCCCTGTTATTAACTTATTTCCTTAGAACTACATGGCATCACTTTGTGAATGGCAGCGAGCCTAAAAGTGTATTCTGTAGACTGCTGTCCTTGGTGTCATTTAGGCTGCCCCTTGCTATGCAAAGTTTGTCTTCCTTTTTCCTGTTGGGAATGCAGGCACAATATTGTGCATTAATACCAGGCCATTTCCTGGCATTTTGAAATGCGTATACAGAACCATGACATTCTGCATTAATAAGCCCATTATTAGAAACTCCTGTACTGCAGAGAGTCCTGGACCCTTTGTGCACAGCAGGAGAGAAAGCTGAACACGTTCCATTTGCGATGTTTCTGATGCATCTTTGGCATCACCTGGCAGGACAGAGTTCCAAATAGAGTAGTCCTAGATCGAGCTGGAATTTTTAACATGTACACATTACTGAAACAGCGACGTCTACGTTGGCTTGGGCATGTTGTGAGAATGGCTGATGATCGGATTCTGAAAGATCTCCTGGATGGAGAATGAGTGCAGGGAAATTGCCCCAGAGGGAGTGACGCATCTTTGGCATCACCTGGCAGGACAGAGTCCCAAATAGAGTAGTCCTAGATTGAGCTGGAATTTTTAACATGTACACATTACTGAAACAGCGACGTCTACGTTGGCTTGGGCATGTTGTGAGAATGGCTGATGATCGGATTCTGAAAGATCTCCTGGATGGAGAATGAGTGCAGGGAAATTGCCCCAGAGGGAGACCACAGCTGTGATACAAGGACATTTGCAAGCAGGATCTGAAGGCCTTAGGAATGGCCCTCCATAGATGGGAGACCTTGACATCTGAGCATTCAGCCTGGAGGCAGGCATTGCAGCAGGCCTCTTCCAATTTGAAGAGACCCTTGTACAGCAGGCCGAGGCAAAAAGGCAGTCCCGAAAGCAGCCAAATCAGGGAGCTGGACAGGGGACAGATTGTATTTGTCTTTAGTGTGGAAGGGTTAGTCACTCTCAAATCGGCCTCCTCAACCACACGAGACACTGTTCCAAGTCCTCCATACAGAGCATGTTACCATCGTCTCTTGAGACTGAAGGATGCCAACATGCCTACAGTTCAGAGACTCGCTGCAAAGGGCGTTCATACATGTAAGCGTTCATGGTCTTCCCTGTTATTCAACTATCTTCTTAGAACCACACAAAGGGTTGGAATTCAGTGGGGAGCCAACTGCTTGGCATCCAAAGGGTTCCAGATTCAGTCCTGCTAATCTCTAAATAGGACTGGAAAAGACTCCTGCCAGAGACCACCTCCAGGTAGGGGAGACTACGGGGAGCTTGATTGACCAACGTATCTGAATTCCAAGTAGCTGTTAGTAGAGTCTCAGCAAAGTGATAAATCTCTTTTCATCCTTGGCCTCAGTCCCTTTCCAGGGATTGGAGCTTCTTGAGGCAATTTTTGGTAATAGACTAAAATGGGCACCTATTATTTCCTCTGCATTGTTATGAATCCTTATTGAAGGCATATCACCTTTATTTTCGTAAAAATGACAAGGGCTGCAAAGCAGATGAGAGGATAGCTTCCTCTGTTCTCTGTCTCTCTCCCATGTTAATGGAAGAGTTGAAGCAGCAGAACTGCCTGGATCAGGCCTTTCTATTCCTCCCACGTGGCAGATCTTTGGCACAGCAGTCAAGCCATGCATAAGACAGGATATGCATCGCTTGATTCCAGATTTATTGTCATGTCTTCTAATAGCAAGCCGGAGTGTTTGTGTCTCTTATTTTTTGGTTTGGAAGGGGAAATGGATGATCCAGAAGCTTGATTGACCAATGTATCTGAATTCCAAGTAGCTGTTAGTAGAGTCTCAGCAAAGTGATAAATCTCTTTTCATCCTTGGCCTCAATCCCTTTCCAGGGATTGGAGCTTCTTGAAATGAGGCAATTTTTGGTAATAGACTAAAATGGGCACCTATTATTTCCTCTGCATTGTTATGAATCCTTATTGAAGGCATATCACCTTTATTTTCGTAAAAATGACAAGGGCTGCAAAGCAGATGAGAGGATAGCTTCCTCTGTTCTCTGTCTCTCTCCCATGTTAATGGAAGAGTTGAAGCAGCAGAACTGCCTGGATCAGGCCTTTCTATTCCTCCCACGTGGCAGATCTTTGGCACAGCAGTCAAGCCATGCATAAGACAGGATATGCATCGCTTGATTCCAGATTTATTGTCATGTCTTCTAATAGCAAGCCGGAGTGTTTGTGTCTCTTATTTTTTGGTTTGGAAGGGGAAATGGATGATCCAGAAATAGGGTAGTGCCTGCGTCACATTCAGGGGACTCCCTGTTGTGAAAGATCACTCTGCAAGAATGAGTCCCTTTCCAGGGATTGGAGCTTCTTGAGGCAATTTTTGGTAATAGACTAAAACGGGGACCTATTATTTCCTCTGCATTGTTATGAATCCTTATTGAAGGCATATCACCTTTATTTTCGTAAAAATGACAAGGGCTGCAAAGCAGATGAGAGGATAGCTTCCTCTGTTCTCTGTCTCTCTCCCATGTTAATGGAAGAGTTGAAGCAGCAGAACTGCCTGGATCAGGCCTTTCTATTCCTCCCACGTGGCAGATCTTTGGCACAGCAGTCAAGCCATGCATAAGACAGGATATGCATCGCTTGATTCCAGATTTATTGTCATGTCTTCTAATAGCAAGCCGGAGTGTTTGTGTCTCTTATTTTTTGGTTCGGAAGGGGAAATGGATGATCCAGAAATAGGGTAGTGCCTGCGTCACATTCAGGGGACTCCCTGTTGTGAAAGATCACTCTGCAAGAATGAAAATAGAGCTTTCGGCTTTTTATTAAGCAGTGTGCATTCCGAGAATAACTTTACGCTGAATTTTTTTTTAGTCTGCACTAAAAGTTGTCTATCTAAATGGAATAATGTAAATCAAAAGAAAAAAAGGGGGTTGTTTTTCCAAAATAGCAAAGCGACAACAACAGCAGCAACTGAAACAATAAAAATAAATAATATAACATAGAGTCATAGATGCCTAGAATAGTGGAGTTGGAAGGGGCCACTAAGGCTGTCCAGGCCAACTGCCCTGCTTGAGGCAGGAAAGCCAAATCAAACCCGATCTGCCAGGAGGTGGTCCCACTTTCTCTTGAAGGCTTCCAGCGTTGGAGCACTCTACACCTCATGGGGTCCATAACATGGCAGAGGAGCTAAACGTTTGTCTGTGCTGAATGTGGAAAGCACAGTTGAGAGAATAGCTGACAGAGAGGTAGTCGGAGGTGACGGAGAACACATTGGGTCTGCACCAAGATCGTAACAGCTTTGCACAGAGGCGGAATGATTGGAGTTATGGAATGCAAGCCGGGAGGTCAGAGCCTCTCCTCTCTACCCCATACATGATTTTCTTTTTTCAGGAAAAAGAAAGAAAAATGGTATTCGTGAAGGCTTTCACGGTTGGGATCTAATGGTTGTTGTGGGTTTTTCGGGCTCTTTGGCCATGCTCTGAAGGTTGTTCTTCCTAACGTGTTCGCCAGTCTCTGTGAAGGACAATAGTCCTCAGAGCACAGAGTGCTCCTCCTGTCCTCTGAAGACGCCAGCCACAGGGACTGGTGAAACATTAAGAACAACCTTCAGAACACGGCCAAAGAGCCCGAAAAACCCACAACAACCAAAAGAAAAATGGCCTTCCCCTGTTGTACCTTCTTGTATGTTCATTGCTTGTACATTCCAGTGCCCAACCTTGGGTGCCCAGAGGTTCCCCAATCAAAACGCCAAGAAGCGTTCACCACTAATTGCACTGGCCAAGAATTCTGAGAGTTGTAGTCCAAGAACGTCTGGGTACCCACGGTTGAGGACCACTGGTTTCAATTCTACCACCCCATCCCAGAATTGTTGGTCCATTCTGGACATAAGCCATCTAGCACACTATAGAATGTCAGGGCTACTCGTGAGATCTTCTTCCTTCCCTCAACCAACCCACCATTGCTTGGGGTCCCCCCCCAAAAAAAGAACAAAACAATGAGATAGGAACATGTGATTGTGTCTATTATTCAGCAGTGCTCAAGGCATTTCAGAACAGAATGAATAATGGGATTGTACTGCTTTTGCAACTTTATTTATTTAGACAATTTTTACCCCACCTTTATCCTTTAAAAGGAACCAAGGTGGCCGACATCTTTGGAAGACAATATTTAAAGCGAAAGACAATGATGATTTTTAAAAGGCAGCTTATATCGTTAAAAGACAATATTAAAGCTAAAAAAAAGTGTAGAAATATTAAG